ACCGCAACCTCTGCTTAAAATCGGGAAGTGCCTCAGTGGTTCTATTGTACCGCTACCTGCCCACGCAGTGCGTTTCAAGTGTACTGCACGAGCACAAGCAGACCACCAAGGTATGCCCTTCTGAGAATTCCTGCCAGAGGTTTGGGGTATAGAATGAGAAGCTGTGGTTAAAACTGAGGACGAGATGATGTGTAAAAGCTCATCAATGGAGGACGAAGAAGGAACCTCACTAAAAGCAGTTAGTTGCGAGTAAAGGTCCCAATTTGCTTGATCAAATTGCCAGCACGGGCTACAAAAAGGTGGTGAATATGAAGGAGAAGTAAGAATGATTGGAAAATGATCACTGTCATGTAAGTCTGGGAGAACAGACCAGGTGAAGTCTAGTGCGGTAGAGGAAGAGCAGACAGAGAGAACAATGCAAGAGAGTATGAGTCGAGGATCAAAATGGGTGTGAGTACCTGTATTTAAAATATGGAGGGGGTGGGAAGCAAGAAAAGTCTCCAACTGAATGCCACAGGAATCAGAGTGAGACCCCAGAAGAAATGATGGGCATTATAATTGCCAAGTAACAGAAGTGGCGGCGGTAAGAACAAAACAAGAAAGGCAACATCTGGGATAGATGTATACCACCTATGCAAGCGGATATGGGCTGCTGTGTAATGCGGCGAAGTACGAACAAATAGCTGATGGTATGGAATATCAGTGCGTAGAAGGGCACTTTCATTAAAGGTCCCATTAGGAAAAAGGATCCGAAGAATACAATAAATTATAGCCTGAGATGGATAGGTAACAGCAGAGTGTAATTTTGATTCTTGTGAGCAAACACCAGCAGGGGAAATCTGGGAGAGCAACATCTGAAGGTCACCCATTGCCCCTGAGGCTGCATATATTCCACTGTAAATAGGCCATGATTGGCAACGATAAAGATATCAGAAATCCACAGGTAAGGGTACCTACGGACTAGAGGGGTTAGTAAAGTCCACATGCGGCAGTAGCGGAAAACGTTCAAGCAGCGAAGGAACAGTGTACTGCGAAGAAAGGAGTTGCACAGATGGAGGAGAGGAAAGAGAAGGAACAGGGGGTGGATCAGTGTCCATTGATGGTTTGGTCTCTGCAATATATTCAGAGATAGCTTCAATTATGGGGTTAATGCTCCAATTTCGTTCCCTCCTTTATCTTTCTCCCGATTTCTTTTATTTTGGTGTACGTTTAGAAGTGCATATGTAAATAAATATGACAAAGTTTGAATATGATTGACCAACAATGGAGAAAAAATATTTACTGATTTTGACATATGGCGCATGGCATGACAAATTGGCACTATGAGTGACACTTCCAACAATTCTGTTAGAATACGTCTAAAACGAATATTTTGGATACAATTCATCTAATATAGCTTATTATTATGGTGAAAAACAATACCATTTGGTGCACTTTTTTGACATTCATCAAAATATCTGCCTTTTACCCCCACAAAATAAAAATACTTGAGATATTCCAAAAAATTCACTTTAATATATTCAAACACACTGTTTTATATTGTCTGTGAAAATCGTTTCAATCCAATCATTAATAATGGCGCAGTGACAAGCAATAGACCAAAATCCTAGTTTCGAGATATTCGGGTAAACGCGCGAACTAGCTAATTACTAGCTAAAAAAAAAATCACAAAATTGCCCTACTTTGGGTTTATTTATGCGATATTAGTGATTTCTTATTGTTTCCCATGTTAAAAAACACCGTTTTCTGTAGTGCTACCAGAGGTAACATAGAAAACCCTTCTCTTATAGAGAGGATCTAGCTTAATCATTTCATCAATATCAGGCACCACCTCTGGGTATAATATACAAATATTATTGTTTTGGCTGGCTTTCTTATGCGTTTATCCAAGTTATATTATGCATACTATCATTATTGAGTAAATGATATAAACAGAAAAATAATATTAGTAATAATAGCATCAGTATAAGACATCTTGTGAGTGATAAGCAGAGTCCTGTCGTCAGCAACTCGATGTTGCACCATTCTAGCTCCTCCCACCTCTTGTGGAAATTTATTCGGTCCTAAAGTTCCACAGGGCAGATACGTCGTACAAAGATCCCATCAGGTGGCGGATAGAACGTCTGGGTTGGGTGGCCCTTACACCCACCCAAAACACACACACACACACACACACACCGCGGTTGGCGAAGGTGGTTGGAAAGGTACATCTTAATTGATAGATTTACCCTTCAGGGAAGAAGTAGGCAGTTTATACTGTTAGTACACTAATATTAGAGTTATTGAGGCAACTGTAGATAATATTAATGTAGACCTAAGACCTTAACGTAGAAATAGGCCGATAATGTAGGCAAACACTAGGTTATGTTAGCCAGGGAGAACTGGCAGCCCAAGTTTAAATGCTGGGCATGGGGTTTTGAGACCGCAGTGCCCTTCTTCTAAGACCAGACACTGCTGGAGCAACAAGTGCCGTGATCAGCAGGTGGCACCCCCACGTGTCTTCACATACTAGACCTGGGGAAATCTGGTGGAGGCACCTTAACGTACGGTAGATGTCCTCCTCCGTCAGGCCCATACAGTAAGACGAGACCTCCCCTTTTCTTCAGTACTCTGGCCAGTTTCTGGGGGAAATTGCGAGTGAGTTGAGCTGTGGGCCTTTGTGCAGGCGGCAGTTCATGACTGGTACATACCGGCATCTCTTTGTCAGCCTTAGAAGCTAGTGTCACTCTCTGTATACTTATTCTAGGGGATTCTCACCCCCTTGGAAACAGGAATTTCTGAGGTGCAGGCAGGTCATTAATAATGACTGACGCGGAGGCAGTCTAGACAAATTTTCACACCTCTGATATAAGCTCCTCCCGCATTGTAATGATATTAAGTGGTAAATTTAGTGTATTAGAAAGAAAAAAATAGTCAGAAAATTAAGGAACAAACAAAAAATATAAAAAATTCACCTCGCACTTACGCATATATTTACCTGGCAGGTCGTCACCTGACATGTTTCATCGTATTACAATGGGATTTTCACCAAAATGTTGCCAGGTACTTACACTATTTTTCTCTAAACAAAACACAAAATCATTTTTTCGCATAATTATCTTGACCACGTCAGAAATTGGGCTGGTGGCCCCTCAAGTGTTTCAGAATTCAAAGAATTCAAAGACCCTTCCTCACCCCACAAAAGGACGCAAGTATCTACTTCGAGGATTGGGAGATCTTGGAGTTCCAGCTGTTCGAGAATGTCATTGGCACATGTCTGGAAATTCTGTTGGATTATGGTATCGGGTAGAATAACAGTACCACTACAAGAATTGAGAGAATGTTTATCGATAGTGACAGGAACAGTATCGATATGTGAAAGAAGAGAAAGAACACAAGCTTGGGTGGCATTCTGGACAGTGATGATGCGGGTACCGCTCTTGAGAGCATGAAAGGAAATATCTCTACCAACATGGAGTAGGAGCGCCTTGCCAATACTATGGTCGGAAAGATAGGCAATAGAGGAAGTCGGTCATAAAGAATTTAGTCCATTGTGCATTCTGAAACCGAGCGTGGAAAGGGAGAGCATGACATGTCGGTCTTTTCTGAGTAGAACAAGAAGGTGGCAAAGAAGTATCATCAGTACACAAATAACCCGCACATAAAAGACAGAAGCTTACGACGACGTTTCGGTCCGACTTGGACCATTGACAAAGTCACACTAACAGAGGCTTGCCGACACTAACAATGCTCTTTTCTGTCACGTCAGAGATCATAGCCATCCTATTGACTGGTCTTCTGCTAAAACTGTCTTCCCTACTTCCAACTCGAACAGTCGCCGTTTAGTTGAATCCTCTCTTATACACAACTTTCCTTGTATGAACCTTAGCCCTGGCTTCGTCTCTGTAGATGCCTTCCTCTCCCACTACATTGTAAAATACTCCAAACTTCAGAACACCTGTGACTTAACCTGAATCCTCATTTTTCTTCTTCTTCTTCTTCTTTTTCTTCTTCCTCTTCCCCTTTCCTCTCTCCTTTTCTCTCTGGGTTGTCTTTCTCTCTCCTGTCTCGTGTTTCTGTTCCTTCTTTATTTTATTTCACCATTTCCCCTTTCACGCACCTCGGTGCGCTTGCTCTCCCTCTGTGGGTTTCTAGCTCTCTTGCAGTGCTCCCCTTCCTTTGTATTTGACTGGCTCGTCTCCTTATTTCCCACTTCTACCACTACCACTACTACTACCTCTTCTTCTTCTACTACATCTACTGATGAAATTAGACACATGTGCGGCGTCTGGTTGTCTTTGTTGTGGACGTTTCGCCATCCAGTGGCTGGCTGGATGGCGAAACGTCTACGGTGGGGATGCCCGGGTGTTGTGCATGTGTCATTTCATCCTGTCGGTATTATATACAATTTCTGCACTACTACTACTACTACTACTACCACTACTACTACCTCTACCTCTTCCTGCCTATATATAGCCGTCCTGCTCCACCTCTGTTAGTGTGACTTTGTCAATGGTCCAAGTCGGACCGAAACGTCGTCGTAAGCTTCTGTCTTTTATGTGCGGGTTATTTGTGTATCGTTCCAGTCACGGTATTGTGCCTTTTTGTTATTTATTTAAGTATCATCAGGCAATTGTTGTTGGTGTTTAGGAGTGGGACCAGAATTGTTCCGATGTGGGATGGGCTGGCGATTTGAAAATTGCTGCACCATAAAGGGAGAGGCCGGAAGCATAGTCAAAGGAGAGCGGAGGTCAGACAAATCGAAGGAGTCAGTTGAAACCCCAGCACCTGAAGCGGGTGATGAAACAGCACCAGCAAGAGGTACAGGGGCATTAGGAGTGTCTGAAGAGTGGTCAAAAGACGAGGTGGGGTCAGAACGGGGTGCGGTAACAAGAGGGGGCCCGGGGGTAGCGGGGTCATGGATTGGGTCTTCCATGGTTAGGTTACTTCTTTCTTTTTGTTTTTAAGAAAAAAGAAAGAAAAAATAAAAAAAAAGAATAAAAAAAGGGGGGCTGGGAGGGATAGTTCGTAGGAGGAATGAAAGGGCCAGAAATCTCCCTCCACGCCCAAGAGGACCTCAGCACCGCAAGAAGCACAGATGCAGCATGGAACCCATGCCATACCATACCCTTCATGCCAGTAAACCAGCAATCCGGGATAGCAACCTCACATCTGCTGAGCTACCTCTGTGGACAAAAGAGGGTGGCTGGATATCCGCCACAAACCATACCTCCTTTGGCCACCACCCCTGGAATCCGAAAGGCACCCTCCAGAGATACACCTGTCGCCCAAAAGACACCCAAAGCGTGCCCCAGGAGACCGGAGAGGGATTGGGACATCCCCAGGAGATCCAGATTCCACGGCAAACTACACCACCACCAAGAACCTCAATGGAATGGGATGGATCCCTGTACCGTTTCCCCTACCTAGGAACTAGCGTGCCTGTGGGAAAAATCCCGAAGGCCAAAAAGAGGAAGGGCAAAAGGGAGGGGTGGGGAGGAGGAGGAGGAGGAGGAGGAGGAGGAGGAGGAGAAGGAGGAAAAGAAAAAGGGAGGATTGGGGAGTAAGAGGAGGATGGGATAGGGAAGGGGATATTGGGGGATAATTAGGTTCGGTCTGAGGAAGGAGACCAACAGGTTTAATTCCTCAGACCAAGAGCCTCTTCACCACGCCAAGGAGCCCCCCCCCCTTGAAGAGGAGTACTGTTAATAATGTTAGATTAGCAATATTAGTAATATATAACAAGAATATGGTAAGTAAATTTGTTTACTTAAGGGAATTGGGAACCAATAAGTAACGTGAGCAGGAACATAATGCTGAGAAATAATATGTCCTTCCACAACTGAAAAATAAAACCAATTCTATAATAAATTATTTAAGGAATGCCGAATATCTTTTATATATCTGTATCTGTTCTCGTAACTTTAAATAGATAAATACACAAGCGGACACACGTGTCTTACCTGTCATTATTTTCCAGCGATTTTTCAAAAAGCTCTTGAAAATTAATGTCTTTTTTGCCTTGGCTTCTATTAACTTCTACTTTATCCAAGAGAAATTTGAAGATGTCGTGAGAGTCTGCCTCATAAGCTATCTTGATTGGGCTGCCAGTAAGCGATGTTGCCCACAGGTCTGCTTTGGGTGTCACCATGACCTTACAACACTCCAGGGACTTGGCCTCCACAGCAATATGAAGAGGAGTTTTACCAAAATTATCTTTCGAGTTAATAGAACGTGGATACTTTTCTATTATAACATTACAACAAGAAGAATGTTTGCCCTTGGCAGCATGGTGGAGAGCTGTCATTCCATTATTATCTGGAACATCTGGTGAATTACTTCTCTTGCACAGCACAACACAACAGCCTTTATGGCCTTCTTTGGCTGCCATGTGTAGTGGTGTTAATCCTTCACTGTTCTTTGTGTCAACTTTGACACCCTTAGTAATAAGGTAATCACAGATTTCATTTAGACCATTCTGAGCTGCTATATGTAAAGCAGTGCCAATTTTACCACAAGTAATGGAGCAGTCAGCACCGACTTTTATCAAAAATTTAGAGCTTTTTTCTGCCTTTTTAGAAATGGCTATGTGTAGAGCTGTTTTTTCTTGCTTATCTAATATATTAACTATTTCCTTTGAATTTTTCTTGTTCATAACAAACTTAACATAATCAGAAGGCGGCCTTTCAGCAGCATAATGCAAAGCAGTCCTGCCATTACAGTCAGTCAGTTGCAATTTAACGTCTGCATCTGAGAGAATCTTTGTCATTTCGATTGATGAACGAAAGGAAAGATGAAATGGAGTCTTATCTTTTTTATTTTGGGCATTAACATCAGCTCCGTATTCAATTAATAACCTGGCACAATCTGGTTTTTCCTTGCCAGATGCATATAATAAATGAAGGGGGGTGTTACCTATACTGTTTTCACTATTAATAGAAGCGTTGTGCTCCAGCAGCTTCCTACAACATTCAGTAAATCCCATTTTTGCAGCCCAGTGAAGTGGTGTCGAGCCGTAACTATCCCTCTCTTCTATATTGGCACCTGCCTCCACAAGCTCCTTACAGATCATCCAGTGACCATTTTTGGCCGCTACATGCAGAGGTGTCATCCCTTCTGGTTCCTTAGCTTGAAGACATTTATCATCATGTTTAAGCAGCAACTTTAATGTTTTAACATTACCTTTCTCAGATGCTATGTGCAGGGCTGTCCATTTACATTTGTTTGTCATATTTAACTTTGAGCCATTGAGAATGAGTAATTCCGTAATCTCTGTAGATTTTTTCCCTGTGGCTATTGAAAGTAGAAGTGGGGAATTTCCAGCTTTGTTTTTGAGGTTGACTTCCTTGGTACTGATCCCCAGAATAACTTTACAACATTCAAGGTAGCCGCCTTTAGCAGCCAGGTGGAGTGGTGTGTTGCCATACTTGTCTCGGATGGCTTGATTCTTTGGGTGTTCTTTCACCAACTTCTGTAGCGAGTCCACATCACCAACCTCTGCTGCATGATGAGCCTCCATCTGCTCATAAGATGTGTTATGCATTACTTTTATATTTCACTTTACTAATAATGTATTTCTTATGATGCTTGTACTACAGTACAAGCATCAGTACAAGTAATTGTACTACAGTACTAGCAATACAAGCAATACAGTGAAGAATAGTATTTTTTCCTATTGAAAAAAGTATAGTTTAGAGAGCTCTAAACTGGAAAATAAAAGTTAATGAATCATTTAAAGAAATTAAATTTCATCACTGCAGTGCATTTACTGTATTTACAAAATAACTGTAATAATATTGTAGTTACTGTATGCACAAGTGTAGTTCCTGAACTAGAATACCAATTTTATTCCTAGCATAGTTAATGTACTTACAGTCTAGTTATATTACTTAGTGTAGTGTCTGCACTCAGAGTAAAATCAAGTAACCTTGTGTAAAAAGTTTAACTAATGAACTTCAGCTCAAGGCAAAAAAATCCTGTAACATGACATTACAATACATAAAGTGAGAACAATCTCACCGATTTGTTGACTACATTCGTCTGCTTTGGGCCGCACCTGAAACAACGTGAGAGGGTTAACAATAGACGGCTTCCACTATGTCAAGATTATTATTAGGTATGGGTCAAAGGTAAGGACAAGATGATATACCCAAATATGAAGTATTGTTTACTGAAGAGAATATGAACATACTTTTCCATTCCTCCAGTATCATGGACTTCAAACGCACTTTCTGGCTCTTCCATAGACACCACAACTATGAACAGAATTAGTAATTGTAGTAAAATTGTCAAGCTGTAGAGAAACTATTAGGAAAGTCAAAGTCTTTTGCTATTGTTAAAGAAGAGAAGGGATACGTATTAAAATAGAACTATGAAAATGCATTGTTTCCTCAGCCAAAAATTCTTTTTACGCTCTTATTGCCGAATGCTTTACCGAGCAGTCATCACATGATTAAGATCCGCTACAGGAGATCTGTTCTCATGTCCTCCAGTAACTTAATTTTCTTCCTTGAAAGACCTTTATACTTCCCCAATTAGGAGAAAATAAATGACATTACATATAAGATATCTGCAAAAATTTTTAATTATAACCTACTGGCTGATGAATTAGACACTTCTGCAACACTTGGCTATCTTTGTGGAAACGTTTCGCCAACCAAGTGTCTAATTACAATTAACAATGGCCTAATGTTGCAGTACCCGAGTCAGCCATATCACATTACCTAAATGTCTGCTGTGAAAAATATATTAATTAATTTTGTAATTATCAATTCAGTAAATGTTTAAGGAGTAATGCAAAATCTGCTGCTCTTTGAAGTAAACAGTTACCAAATACTCACCGTCACCAGGATTCCGTGAACCCAAGAGGCTCCGACGCACCTCTACGTCCTCTTGATCTGTCATTATGACCGTGAAAACACTGTACCTAAATCAGTGACAGAAGAAACATTAAATATTCGAAGCACTTGAAGGGAAGTACCACATACTTAATATAATAATCTACATACACACACTTTACTTCCATAAAATCAGTATTTAAAATATGTAGAGCTTCAAAATGTCTCCCAGAGCTAAAACATGTGAGTTATAAAGGCTGAAAATAATATTTTTTTTTTTTTTTTTTTTCAAAATAAACCAAACAATTTTTTATCCGTGAAGTGCGATACAGTACATTATACAGTTAGGGTAACTAATATATATAAACCACTATATAGAAAGCCCCTTATAATGCAAGGTATTAGGAGGAAAAGAGGAGCTATGACAACCATATTTAGACATAAGAACATAAGAAAGGAGGATCACTGCAGGAGGCCTGATGGCCCATACTAGGCAGGTCCTTTACAATCCATCCCACTAACAAAACATTTGCCCAACCCAATTTTCAATGCTACCCAAGAAATAATCTCTGATAACTCTAAATAACAAAAAAGGCACAATACCGTGACTGGAACGATACACAAATAACCCGCACATAAAAGAGAGAAGCTTACGACGACGTTTCGGTCCAACTTGGACCATTGACAAAGTCACAGTGTGTGACTTTGTCAATGGAAATGGTATGGTGATACCGACAAGATGTGGAAAAAGACACTTATGTACAGTTCAGGACATTTATTAAAGGAAACGTTTCGCCACGAGTGGCTTCTTCAGTCCTAATACAGAGAAAACTAAGAAAACATTTATATATATAGTGGCGGGAGTCAGGTGAGGTGATGCGTGGGTAGAGGTGGTAGTAGTCGTAGTAGTAGTAGTAGTAGTAGTAGTAGTAGTAGTAGTAGTAGTAGTAGTAGTAATGGAACTAAGGAGGTGAGGCAAGAGAGGGACCTGCTGGCATCAAGTAACACCAGTTCCCAGGATGGGTAATATCCTCTTGCTTAGTAATTTTGAAATACTGTAACTACCGAATTTTTGCTTTATAGTGTTACTGACAGAAATTAGTGCAGCTTCAATGCATTTTCTCCGTCTTAAGTCGTCTTCTTTAATAACTAGTTTAGCTTCATTGAATTTCATGAGGTGTCCAACATCGTCTCTATGTTGAACACATGCGTTTTTGCGGTCATCATTTCTGCAAGCATTTTTGTGTTCTGTTATTCTAATGTCCAGAGTTCTTGCTGTTTCCCCTACATATACTTTGTCACACCCCCCACATGGTATAGTGTAGATTCCTGCACTTGTGCCAGAATCATGCTTGGGTTTTTGTATCAGGTTCCTAATAGTAGTTGAAGAGCTGGTAGATATTTTAGCCAGTTTTCTGTCAAACATTTTTGAAACATTAGTGGCAACGTTGCTGACCGGTTTAAAACGATGTAACTTGGAGGCTTTTCTTCAATTTGATAGGTGTTGGTCTTGCTGAGGATACGTGCCGCACGTTTCTACAGTCACGTATGAGTGTAGGGAAAGTGCAGTGAACTAAAAGAGTTGGTGATGTATGTACATTCTTCTTCGAGGAACTGTGGACTGGAAATTCTGTAGGCTCTCAGAAAGAAGCCAATAACATACCCCCTTTTAGTTCTTGTGTCATGGTGAGAGAAGAAATGTAGAAGATCGTTCTTGTAGGTAGGCTTCCGGTAAACTTTAAAAGAAAGTTTATTTTCCCCTGTGCGTAAGAGAACGTCGAGAAAAGGTAATTGGTTGTCCTTCTCCTCCTCTAGTGTAAATTTAATAGTAGGTTCCAGAGTGTTAATGGTGTTGAGGATGCCCAGTACGTCAAGATTTTTGGGTACAATGACCAAAATATCATCTACGTACCGCATCCATGTAACTAAGCGAGGGATGTTACTGAGGATCCTTCTTGATTCCAGGTCCTCCATATATAAATTGGCAAGAACTGCACTAAGGGGGGATCCCATGGCTAGTCCGAAGAGTTGTTTGTACTTCTTGTCCTCAAACCTAAAACAGTTATAACGAACACAAAGTTCGACAAGGCTCACAAAATCTTGGCGGGGTACAGGTAACTCTGTATCATCTTTAATCACCCTGCGAAGAAGATAAGACTTTCTAGGAAACTACAAACACTCTGCGATAATAGTAATTGGAAAAGTTTAGGAAGACCTGAAATTATTCAAAATCTTTCATCTCGTCCACTGTCAACTACAGAAACTGAAGCCCTCAGCTTAGGCCTCAAATTCGCAACAGGAATTACGAAACCAAAACAAGACCTCAATTTCATCGCCAAAAACTACAGACACAATGACTCCGACTTCCAAAAAGGCTATCTTCAAGGCATCATCTCAGCAGCCATCTACAACACGCAGTTCCCAGTCATACCTCGACGTTACATCAATGCACTCAAAGGTTTAGCAGAAGACACGACCATCAGGGTCACCACCGCTGATAAAGGAGGTGGTGTTGTTATCATGAACACTGACGATTACAGGAACAAAATGCTTAATCTGCTTAATGACCCAGATACCTACAAACCTCTCACAACTAACCAAGTGGACAACCTTACTAAAACTTTTCTTCAAAGGACTCGCCGCATTCTGAGAGGCTCAGAACAAGGGAAGAAACTTCTGCACAACATGCCCAGTAACCCCAGACCTGCCAGAATGTACGGCCTGCCAAAAACTCACAAGCCTGGTATCCCACTGAGACCTCATAAATGACTGGTCCAAAACATCCAGGCATGAAAACCTTCCATCTCATATTAGAAAAAATTTAGAGAGTACTTCTGGAGATTACCTGGAGAGAGTTCCGGGGGTCAACGCCCCCGCGGCCCGGTTTGTGACCAGGCCTCCTGATGGATCAGAGCCTGATCAACAGGTGTTGTGCTGGCTGCACGCAAACCAACGTACGAGCCACAGCCCGGCTGATCAGGAACCGACTTTAGGTGCTTGTCCAGTGCCAGCTTGAAGACTACCAGGGGTCTGTTGGTAATACCCCTTATGTATGCTGGGAGGCAGTTGAACAGTCTCGGGCCCCTGACACTTATTGTATGGTCTCTTAACGTGCTAGTGACACCCCTGCTTTTCATTGGGGGGATGTTGCATCGTCTGCCAAGTCTTTTGCTTTCGTAGTGAGTGATTTTCATGTGCAAGTTCGGTACTAGTCCCTCTAGGATTTTCCAGGTGTATATAATCATGTATCTCTCCCGCCTGCGTTCCAGGGAATACAGGTTCAGGAACCTCAAGCGCTCCCAGTAATTGAGGTGTTTTATCTCCGTTATGCGCGCCGTGAAGGTTCTCTGTACATTTTCTAGGTCAGCAATTTCACCTGCCTTGAAAGGTGATGTTAGTGTGCAGCAATATTCCAGCCTAGATAGAACAAGTGACCTGAAGAGTGTCATCATGGGCTTGGCCTCCCTAGTTTTGAAGGTTCTCATTATCCATCCTGTCATTTTTCTAGCAGATGCGATTGATACAATGTAATGGTCCTTGAAGGTGAGATCCTCCGCCATGATCACTCCCAGGTCTTTGACGTTGGCGTTTCGCTCTATTTTGTGGCCAGAATTTGTTTTGCACTCTGATGAAGATTTAATTTCCTCGTGTTTACCATACCTGAGTAATTGAAATTTCTCATCGTTGAACTTCATATTGTTTTCTGCAGCCCACTGAAAGATTCGGTTGATGTCCGCCTGGAGCCTTGCAGTGTCTGCAATGGAAGACACTGTCATGCAGATTCGGGTGTCATCTGCTAAGGAAGACACGGTGCTGTGGCTGACATCCTTGTCTATGTCGGATATGAGGATGAGGAACAAGATGGGAGCGAGTACTGTGCCTTGTGGAACAGAGCTTTTCACCGTAGCTGCCTCGGACTTTACTCTGTTGACGACTCTGTGTTCTGTTAGTGAGGAAATTATAGATCCATCGACCGACTTTTCCTGTTATCCCTTTAGCAAGCATTTTGTGCGCTATTACGCCATGGTCACACTTGTCGAAGGCTTTTGCAAAGTCTGTATATATTACATCTGCATTCTTTTTATCTTCTAGTGCATTTAGGACCTTGTCGTAGTGATCCAATAGTTCAGACAGACAGGATCGACCTGTTCTAAACCCATGTTGCCCTGGGTTGTGTAACTGATGGGTTTCTAGATGGGTGGTGATCTTGCTTCTTAGGACCCTTTCAAAGATTTTTATGATATGGGATGTTAGTGCTATCGGTCTGTAGTTCTTTGCTATTGCTTTACTGCCCCCTTTGTGGAGTGGGGCTATGTCTGTTGTTTTAGTAACTGTGGGACGCCCCCCGTGTCCATGCTCCCTCTCCCATAGGTGGAAAAGGCTCGTGAAGGGGCTTCTTGCAGTTCTTGATGAACACGGAGTTCCATGAGTCGGGCCCCTGGGGCAGAGGCAGGGGCATGTCATTTATCGCCTGTTCGAAGTCATTTGGCGTCAGGATAACATGGGATAGGCTTGTGTTAACCAAATTTTGTGGCTCTCTCATAAAAAATTCGTTTTGATCTTCGACTCTCAGTCTGGTTAGCGTCTTGCTAAAAACTGAGTCATATTGGGAACTTGAGTAGCTCACTCATTTCCTTGCTGTCATCGTGTAGGGACCCATCTTGTTTAAAGTAGGGGCCCAATACTGGATGTTGGTTCTCGACTTAATTTGGCATAGGAGAAGAAATACTTTGGGTTTCTTCGATTTTATTTATGCTTTTAGTTCTTCCCGCATTCCTGACTCCTATAAGATTCCTTTAGCTTTAGTTCGATACTTGCTATTTCTTGACCGTGTCCCCCCTACGCATTTCAGATATTTGACCTCTTTTTAGCCCCTTGTTATTCTTTTCCGTCGCCTGTAAAGGAGCGCCTGTCTCTTTCTATTTTACATCTACTCCTCCTTTTTCTTTAGAGGAATAAGCCCTTTTGCATACATCGAGTGCCACCAAGTTAATCTGTTCTAGGCATACGTTGGGGTCTGTGTTGCTTAGATATCTTCCCATCTTATATCGGTTAGGACTTGGTTTACTTTGGTCCCACTTTATGTTTTTGTTATTGAAGTTGAATTTGGTGAATGCTCCCTCGTGACTAGTCTCATTATGTCGGTCTGGGGCTCCACGCATACATGTCTGAACCTCAATTATGTTGTGATCTGAGTATATTGTTTTTGATATGGTGACATTTCTT